CCCTGGAGTAGTAATATTTATAAAATATTTGACAATATTTAACCTTTGTGCTTGCAAAAAAATAAAATATAAAAACGAAAAAAAAAAAAACAAACAATGGTTTGTCAAGAGTACAGTTATTCCCTTGATGCTACTATTAGTGTATACGAGTTTTTTTGTTTTTTTTTATAAAAATTCTTGTTAATCACCCTCCCCCAACAAAAAAAAATGTCAATGCAATATTAAATCACAAAAAATATCTTACTGTACACAATATTTTTTCGGTTTTAAATACCTCACAAAGGGTTGATAAGACGTAATAAACAAATCAATCAACCTTCACAGATCGACGCCGTTGTGTTTCATTGATTTTGTTTACAATTTCCAAAATATTGTTTGTTTCTTAGAATATAAATTAATTTTTATTTATTTATTTATAAATTATATTTAGTTTCTGTTATCAATAATCAAGAGTAGTCTCCATTGTTTTCTTACTCTCCTCTTTGAGAGAGCTATTTCTGTTTACTGGGACTATAAAAGGACACTATACGCGTACCTTGTATTCTCAGTTGTATAAAGCTTTCTTAAAATCCTACACCTGAGTACTTTTGTCATTACAGTTTGTTACCTCCCCCCCAACACTTTAAAAAAAAAACTCTTCTTTTTTTTTTGTTTCTTTCTGATGCCAGTCTTTTCCATTCAGTATTGTTTTGAGGGAATGACCTTTATATATATATATATATATATATATATATATATATATATATATATATATATATATATCTGAGATGAGGTATTATGATTACTTACGTTATATATATACACTTTTTCCGGCTGTTATCGTCATCTTCATTGCCATATACACAACCTTTCGGCCGGTTTACGCTCCGGCCCTCTTCAGGTGATTGGACCCCTTATTTCATCCACCGGAGCATATTTTTCTACTTCCACGTGCCATGCCTCTACCAGATGTCTCTGTTATTTCAGTTTAACTTAACACTTCAACTTCAAGTCACTGGATCTAACCAACGTCTTTACCCACTGGGCCAAGTGTACTTGACGACATTATGTATGAATTTTGGGGGACTTATAAACGAATCAGTAACAACGTTTTTACCAGTGTTCATATTGCAATTTTTTTCTGTTATTATTATTATTGCATTTTTTTTACCAGAGCTTATATTGCAATTTTTCTTGTTATTCATTGCTTTTCTCTAGCACTCCTTATTAATGGTTTCCATATTTTATTCATTTCTATGCTTGGTTGGCTCAGGAGATTGTTTGTGGCCTGGCATGTGCTGATTCCTTAAGTTTCCGTATTTTCCAGTGATGCTCTCCCTGTTCCTTACACATGCGGTCAGCTACGCCTGATTACCGTTTTAGGATGTTCTTGTAGTTTTACTTTTACTTTGTTTCTCCTTTGTATTTCTTACCACAGCTGCACGGGATGTCGTATACACAGTTCTTTTTGTCTTGTATACTCACAGATAGAGGAAAGTAGGGACTAGAGAAAGCAACCCGTGAGTTAATGGAGCAAGTGGATGGCAGAACAGGGTCTGGGAGAAATAACAAAAAAACAAGAGCTTCAAGGTACAGGAGGACGTGGAGAGCCATGATCGCCTATGTCCTGAAAGGACACGGCACATAAAAGAAAAAGAAGAATGTGTTTCAGCTGGGGAAGAAACGATCGTCTTATGTGATTTGTCTATGTTACTATCAGTCAATTATGTGACATGCGTTATACACGCTTAGGCGATCATGTATCTTTCGATACATGACTGACGAGGCAGATTTTTTTCCAGCAGTAGGTTGCCATTTCTTTCTGCGGTAGACCAGTTGCCATCCAAGGCTGTAGAACCGGGTCTGCCCTGCTATTTACTCATTGGTAGAAGTGGATTCATACCTTTCCCAAGGTTATTAGCACAGAAGTGAATCTAATGGATTCGAATGGAATTCGAACTTGGCTCTCCGATTCAGTTATGTTGCCATTTCTTTCTGTGGTATACTAGTTGCTATCCAAAGCTGTAGAACCCGATCTGTCCTGCTATTTACCCACCTAGCTAATTTACTTGCTAATACCCTTTCCCAAGTGTATTAGCGCGTCAGTGAATGTAATGGATTCGACTGGAATTCGAACTCGGCTCTCCGATTCCCCAATCCGAGCCGCTATCCATTACTCCACCGTGTCTCCCCATTTTTAAATTCACCGCGGAAGAAAAAATAACATTAATTTTTACGCTTCCAAATCGAAACATCTCTCTATTAATAATCTGAGAAACACCATTCTAACTTCAATCAGAATGGCCACCAGAAAAGTGACGGGTTGACACCTTTTCGGGCTAACATTCTCTGACCTGAAGTGTAAAGACAATATTGAATCGATTGCTAGGTCAGCTGCTAAGAATCTTGGCCCACAATGTCATACTAGACAATTTTTCACTCCAGACTCTATCTTCAGTCAGTTATATGCCATGCGCGATACACGCTTAGGCGATCATCTATCTTTCGATACATGACTGACGAGGCAGATTTCTTTCAGCAGTAGGTTACCATTTCTTCCTGCGGTAGACCAATTGCCATCCAAGGCTAGAGAACCTGCTATTTACACATAGATGGGAGTTGAAGAAGATGATTCACACCTTTCCCAAGGGTATTAACACGTAAGTGAATGTAATGGATTCGACTGGAATTCGAACTCGGCTCTCTGATTCCTCAATCCGAGCCGCTATCCATTACTCCACCGTGCCTCCTCTATGTTACCGGGGGAACAAATCAGTGACGTCATTTTGAATTCTAGTTTCTCAAAAAATTCTTTCGTTGCCTCTGCATTTTATCAAGGCCTGGGATGAACTTTCTACTGGGGGGTGGGCATCCGATGTCAGTGGTGAGACAGACAGCTTGTAGATGGGGTGTAACGCGAGAAAGAGACAAATGAAAGAGATATATAAATATCCATCCCCAAGGGAGATTGCTGTAAGGCGGGGGGAGGCGAGAAAGAAGGAAGTAAGAAAATAATATGAGTAAGTATATGATAGATATCGGTTGAGCACAAGCCGATATATTATTGGTCAGGAAAGCAACCCCTCAGGAGTTTGTTCCAGAAAACAACAGTAATATACTTATGCTCACCGTTAACTTAAATTCATGCAAATGATATACTTTAATATAATATTCACAATCTCTATGAAAACTATACGTATTTTTAAACACACAAACAAGTAAAAAGCCATGCTTGCTATACTTATCTATCTATCTTTTTTTTTTAAGCATTACGCCCCAAGCAAGGCGTGATGCCACTAGGATGCAGGGGGTTGCGGAAGATTTGGAGCGAGAGCAGATAGGAGTGATAGGAGAAAAGATGGAGAGAAGGATAGTGGGTAGATCAAGGTAACTGGAGATGTCGATTGACATTACATTTGAATAGTTGGAGATTATAGCTCTCAGGGAAACAGTAATTGGGAAGGGTGTTCCACAGGCGAGAGGTGCGAGGTATGAAGCTATTGGATTAGAAGAGACGGCTACATTTAAAAGTTTCTACAGTGTAAGGGTGGGAGCGAGATGCCAGCCTCGTAGGGCGCTTGAATTCATGGAGTCTGGGAACCAGTGAAAGCAGCTCATCGGAGGAATTACCATGAAAGTATTTGTAGAAAAGACAGAGAGAGGCGACGGCGCGTCTGTGAGAGAGTGACTGTAGACGAGATGCCAGATCAGGGCCAATTAGATTACATATCCGTCTCTGGATCTTGTCAAGAACTCCGGGGTAAACAGAAGGTGCTCCAGACCATATATGGCAGCAATACTCCATGCAAGGGCGAATGGTTGATTTGTATATTTGAAGTATCATTTCCGGGGAGAAAAATTTCCTGGCGCGGCACAGAGAGCCAACTTTCCTCGCGGTGGAAGAAGCAATTGACTCAATGTATTTGTTTTCCTCAATCTAACTATCTATCTATCTATCTATCTATCTATCTATCTATCTGACGAGACCTGGGCGGCCGAAACCGCGGGAGTGTTCCGGTCAGCGTTATTTACTTTTTAAGAGATTAAATCGCTCTGCAATTTTGGACATTCTATTTGAAATTGGATCTCTCTCTCTCTCTCTCTCTCTCTCTATATATATATATATATATATATATATATATATATATATATATATATATATATATATATATATATATATATATATAGCTAGCTAGCTAGCTAGATAGATAGATAGATAATATTAGCAGTAAATATACATATGCAAAAATATATAAATGTATATATAAATGTAAATGTAAATATGTTATTGTGTATGTGTGTATACACATGTGTTTTTGAACATAAAAATATAGGGTCTTGCTAGATTAGATAATCGTTATATTTATTTTTATATTTGATTTGTAACCTGTAGTTGATATTAATTTTGTCAAATTTTCTTAATTACACAGCGGCCCTTTTATAAATGCCCTTCAGTTTTAGTTTCTCCCGCCTCATCTCTCTTCCCCCACCCCTTTTTCTTTTCCTCCCCACCTCTTCTTCTGATCTTTAAGATTAGATCGTCTATTGTGTGTGTGTATGTCACCACAAAATGTATCCTTTCCGGTTACATTTTTAATGTATTAGACATCCGACAACATTCATATTTCTCTCACTTAAACCGTCTTTGACTCCCCTCTCTAAAACTTCTCTCTGTTAAATTTTAATCCCACACCTTCTCTCGTCTGTTACCCCTCTCTTTAGCTCTAACTTTTGTCCCACACTCTCATACTTACACTCTCTTTAAATTCTTTTTTTATTTCTGGAGTTGTTTTTTTCTTTTTTTTTTTTTGAATTTGTAGGTCTGATGAATTGGATCGTATTTATGATTCCAATGGAATAAATTATCACCATGGAATATTAGTGTTTAAGCCTTGATATATATATATATATATATATATATATATATATATATATATATATATGTGTGTGTGTGTGTGTGTGTGTGTGTGTGTGTGTGTCTGTTCTTTATCTATCTATCTCAAACTGTTCATTATATATCTATGTATCTCAGTCTGTTCATTATCTATCTATCTATCTATCTATCTCAGCCTATTCATTATTATCTATCTATCTATCTATCTATCTATCTATCTATCTATCTCAGTCTGTTCGTTATCTATCTATCTATCTATCTATCTAATTTGGTATATTTATCGGGGAAGAGTGCCCTGTATCGAAAATATAGGGTTCACGAAAATGACGACACAAGAATCAACACTGCATGGATACTGCCTGTTTCACGCCTCAGTGTGATATTCAGACTTGATTTTTCATCTCGTATTTCCTCCTTTCTCCTCACTCCATCACTCTCATTCCCTCAGTCACAATCTCTCCCTGTTTCTATCCCCCCCTCGAGCTTTCCTTCTATATTGCTCTTTCTCTCTGTCGTTCTCTTTCCCTATCACTCTTTCTCTTCCACTAGTTATCTCTCGCTCTTTATTTTCTCTCTCTCTTTCTTTCTCTCTCTCTTTTTCTCCCCCTTTCTCTATTGCTCTTTCTCTCTCTCAAAGTTATGAATCTTTTAATATCAAGAACATTCTCATTGCCAGTTCAAGGAAGACATTTGTGTCACTAATACACAAAAAAGAGAATGTTTAATATTGAGAATATTTAACATCGAAAAACAAGAAAAAACAATTTCTTTTAATAATATGTGGAAATATCCACTCTTTGCCTCATGAAGGTCGCAAGAGGTTGCTCTCTTCTTTTTAATATATACACTTTTCTCTCGTTGGGACAACTATAAACACTTCGTTATATATATATATATATATATATATATATATATATATAGTTTTAAAGTATGCTATATTTATGTGGTAAAGCGCTCAGTATCAAAGATAGAGCGTATGTAAATATAAATATAAAAATGTACATTGAATTCAACACTCAGAGGCGAGATGAATATGTCTGGAAAGTACCTTTGATCGCTAGTTCAGCTCTGGTAAATTTGCGTCCATGGCTCTTAGAATATATCACTATTTTGGTAGATTTTATATTGTCATATTGTTCAACAGTAAGTGACAATGGTGATGAAGAGAAAAATAAAAAGTATAAAAATATAGATGCATTTGGTTAGATTGAAAGAAAAATTATCTCAAAAAATTTTAAAACTGCCAGCGTCTCTCGTTTCGGGCGCATGTGTAGACGTAGCAACGTCAAGAAACCCAATCCGATGAAATCATAGAAATATATATGATATAATGATGAAATCACACACACACACACACACACACACACACACACACACACACACACACACACATATATATATATATATATATATATATATATATACCCAAGTATAGGATTGGTGTATACGGAATAAATTCCAATAACCAACAAATACCATTCTTAAAAGAGTGCTCAATACTGAGTAAAAGCAAATATGATATAATATACAGATATATAATATATACTATCTATATATATATATATATATATATATATATATATATATATATAATATAATATAATATATATAATATATATATAATATAATATATTTAATACAATTTTATATATATATATATATATATATATATATATTTTTTTTTTTTTTTTTTTTTTTTCTTACCATGAAATAAAAATATTGCACCAAGTGAGATGAAGACATATCGCTCGTCAGGATATATATATATATATATATATATATATATATATATATATATATACTCTTTCATAATATTCTATTCTGACATGAGATTCTCATCGGCATCAAAGCACAATTATTTATTACAACGTGAAGATTTCCCCTTCAAACAAATCTAACAGTGTTTCCCTTATCAGGTAACAAATTTACAAGGACACTTTCTTGTCAGAACTTATTCCGAAAAAATAATTCATTTTTCCTGATCGAAAAATAAAAAAAATGAAAGAATCTTTTCGTTCAAGGATTACCGCCAGTAATTCAAAAACATAATTCTGTTATCACCTTTGTAATTCTACGAAAAAAAAAAAAATGTCCTTGAACGAATATTATGCCGAACGGTTAGAATCAGGAAACAAAATATTTTTTGCAGTTGAGATCCAAGTGTACTTGGTACAGTTAGAAATCTCCGCTCTTGCTAAACGTGCCAACGTCTTGTTTGTAGATAGGGAGGCACGGTGGAGTAATGGATAGCGGCTTGGATTGAGAAATCGGAGAGCCGAGTTCGAATTCCAGTCGAATCCATTACATTCACTTACGTGCTAAAACCCTTGGGAAAGGTATGAATCCTCTTCTTCTCCACCCCCTCCAGCTATGGGTAAATAGCAGAACAGACTGGGTTCTATAGCTTTGAATGGCAACTGGTCAAGGAGAAGGACAACTCTGAATTCAAAACCTGCTGAGAGTCGTTTCGGGACCTTGTGGCATTTAGTGCACCAGGTCCCTGTATTCTTCCCTGGATTTTATCAGGATTCTCTAAATATTTATCAGTGATGGGCTATATGCGACAGCAATATTCGAAGTATTTACAAATGGTAGACTTTTCACTTACGTGCTAATACCTTTCATATGTATGAATCCAGTCCTCTCCCCCACATCTATAGGTAAATAGCAGGGCAGGCCGGGTTCTATAGCCGTGGATGGCAACTGGTCTACTGCAGAAAGAAATGTCAACGTACTGCGCGGTAAATATGCCTTGTCAGTCATGTATCGAAAGATACATGATCGCCTAAGCGTATATCAAGCATAGCACATAACAGACTGAAATGATTTAAAATTTACTATTTCCAGTCAGCAAAATACACTGTAGTGTATTAAATACAGAAATTATATTGATCGGAATCATTTTTTTTTTTTAGTAGATTCGATAAAAATGGCCATTTTGACACTGTTATCAATTAAAGTTAATTCTTGATTTTAAAATCTTGCATTAATAAAATATATATTTCTGAAACGTTATTTAATTGAAAGTAGACACGGAGAGGACTCGGAGAGCCGAGTTCGAATTCCAGTCGAATCCATTACATTAACTTACGTGCTAATACCCCTGGAAAAGGTATGAATCCTCTTCTTCTCCCCCTTCAGCTATGGGTAAATAGCAGAACAGACTCGGTTCTATAGCCTTAAATATATATTTCTGAAACGTTATTTAATTGAAAGTAGGCACGGAGAGGCATCGGAGAGCCGAGTTCGAATTCTAGTCGAATCCATTACATTCACTTACGAACTAATACCCTTGGGAAAGGTATGAATCCTCTTCTTCTCCTCCCACACCAGCTATGGGTAAATAGCAAGACAAACCGGGTTCTATAGCCTTGGCTGGTAAGTGGTCTACCGCAGAAAGAAATGGCAACCTACTGCGGGAAAAAAAATCTGCCTCGTCAGGCATGTATCGAAAATTACATGATCGCCTAAGCGTGTATAACGCATGGCACATAACTGAATCGGAGAGCCGAGTTCGAATTCCAGTGGAATCCATTACATTCACTTACGTGCTAATACCCTTGGGAAAGGTATAAATCCTCTTCTTCTCCACCCCTCCAGGTAAATAGCAGGACAGACTGGATTATATAGCCTTGGATGGTAACTGGTCTACCACAGAAAGAAATGACAACTTACTGTGGGAAAAAAAAAGTCTGCCTCGTCAGTCATGTATCGAAAGTGTGTATAACGCATTGCACATAACTGACTGCCTGATGAACATCGAAGGAATCTTAAGAAAAACTTGAAGCTATTGTCCTCATTTTTGTTGTTGTTATCATGGCGTTTTGAAAGCTAACTTCGGTTGTTGGATACGAACCTGTTTCCTTTCTTTTTTTTGAAAACATTGTTCTTATTCTTTTTATGTGCCGTGTCCTTTCAGGACGTAGGCGATCATGGCTCTCCACGTCTCCCTATCCCTTGTGGCTCTCAATAAGTTTCGTGCCTCTGCCACCTCCCACAGACCACGTTCTGTCATCCACTTGCTTAAGCCCGCCAGGTATGTCATGTGTTGCTTTCCCTTGTCTATCTTTCCCTCTATTCGACCTTTGAGCATCAGATTCTCGAAGCCCTCCTTTCTTATTACGTGTCCCAGAAATTTCATCTCCCTCTTCCTGATGTTAAGTATAAGCTTCCTCCTTGTTTGCATCTTCTCCAAGACCTCATCGTTGCTCACACGCTCGGTCCATGATATCCTCAGCATCCTTCTGTAGGACCACATCACTGTCGTCACGAGTCTCTTCTTCATCTTTGAGGAGACCGTCCAACATTCGCTGCCGTAAAGGAGGACAGATGTTATGTAGCAGATCAGTATTCTTTTCTTTGTCACCAGAGAATGCCCCCTCTTTCGAAGTACTTTGCCCAGTTTCTGGAATGCATCCTTGTCCATCATCCGTCCTGGGTATGACGATAAACTACATCCGCGTCCTGGGTAAGACGATAAACTACATCCGCGTCCTGGGTATGACGATAAACTACATCCGCGTCCTGGGTATGACGATAAACTACATCCGCGTCCTGGGTAAGACAATAAACTACATCCGCGTCCTGGGTAAGACGATAAACTACATCCGCGTCCTGGGTATGACGATAAACTACATCCGCGTCCTGGGTAAGACAATAAACTACATCCGCATCCTGGGTAAGACGATAAACTACGTCCAACAGCAAGACCTTTGATCAGAAGGTTTTGAAGAGCGTGAAACTACCTCTTAATTGCTGGTTTTCTCAGGGGCGTTAGCACTTGTTAGGGTCCCATCAAATCACTATGAAAGTGAAAAAATAGTTTTAACCAGCAATATATTTTTGAAAAAAAAATGAAAAATAAATTACGAGCAATAAATTTTTTGAAAAAATATTTGCAGCAATACATATTTGAACGAAAAATGTTACCAGAAATAGATTTTTTGAAGGAAAAAATATTACCATAAATAGATGTTTGAACAAAAATTATTACCAAAAAAAATCTTGTCGGCATTAAATAACCCATTGAGGTTGATATGCCGTAAAACAAAATAAACCAAACCAAACTGATTTCTTACAAAGAATACATATTCTATTCATACGAACCTATCCTAAAAATCTTGTCGGCATTAAATAACCCATTGAGGTTGATATGCCGTAAAACAAAATAAACGAAACCAAACCTTGTCACTTACCGTCCTTGCTCAAATAACACTTCCGGAAATGCTTGATTTTAGTGTTCCCGACCTTCAAATCACATTTCGGGGTCACCGATTTGAGTAATAAAATCTCATCTAGTGTCGTAAGTGTTTGACAAAAGATGACTTCATCTTTGCAACACAAATAAACGAATAAATAAACAAGTAATAATCGAGAATCCTTGAAATATCGATGAATTTTACGGCCAGAAGCAATGTCTTTGAATAACTTCCTTCCTTTCGCGTCTCCCTTTCTAAAGATTTGGTAAATTGATTGACAAATTCATTAGATTGTTTATTTAATCATCTTCGGCTCAGCTTCATTAATTATCTTCTAATTATCTAAAACACTACAAGGAGAACAAGAATGTTCTTTTGTTTTATTCAATTCTTATTTGTTTGTTAACTTCTATTTTCATTTTTAAGATTCCGATAAAACACCGATTCCCGTACGGTGACCGAAGTTAAGCAACATCGAACCTTGTCACTACCTAGGTAGGTGACCGTATGGGAATGCAAGGTGCTGTCAGCTTAGATGTGCGACTGGTGTGATAGATAAGTTAAGCAAAGTCAAGCCTGGTCAGTACTTTGATGAGTGACAGCTTGGGAATACCAGAAGCTGTAATCTTGGATGTGCGTGACATGTAATGGGTAAGTTAAGCAACGTCGAGCCTGGTCAGTACCTAGATGGGTGACCGCTTGGGAATAAAAGGTGCTGTAAGTGTGGGTGTGCGAGTGGCGTGGTTTACGACCACATCACGTTGAAACAGCGGTTCCCGTACGATCACCGAAGTTAAGCAACGTTGAGATTGGTCGGCATCTAGATGAGTGACCGCTCGGGAATAAAAGTGCCGTAAACTTGGATGTGCTGTTGGTACGTCTTATGGTCACGCGAAGTTCAAGCACCGCCTCGCCAAAGTTAAGCAACCGAGTCTGGTCGATATCTAGATGGGTGACCGCTTGGGAATAACAGGTGCTGTAAACGTGGGTGTGCAGGTGGTATGGCTTAGGGCCACATCACGTTGAAAAAAGAGTTCCCGTACGGTCACCGAAGTTAAGCAATATCGAATCCGGTCAATAGCGAGATGAGTGACCGCTTAAACATGGTGTCTTAGTGATTCTACTGCATTGCATGGGGTGATATAATATGATCTAGAAAATCTTTTTAATACTGTTTATTATAAACAGAGCGTTAAAATATTGGTGTGTATGAAAAGAACGAATAAACATAAAAAAAAATCTCTTAAATAATTGTCGGGCTTAATGTGTGACGTCATTTGTTTACATTTGGATACGCATCGAGCAGATATGAATGAATTAGAGAAAATCATGGAGAATTGTGTTTAAAAACAGTAAACTCGACCTTGCTAAACGAATGTGGCCCAGTCGGTTAAGGCACGTCAGGCTATATGACCGTATAGGATAGAGGTTCGATTCCTGTCGGAGGACGCATATTTTCTATGAAAATTTCTTGGACATTCAGGCCGGTAAATGTTGTTAGTCGTCATCCGTTTCTTGATAGGCTACGAGCCTGAGAACTCGGGCTGCCCCGACGTCTAGTTCCCCCTCTCGGCCTTGCTAGCAGAGTCCAAAGGAGAGGATAAACCAATACAGTTTGGTACCAATGTGCTTGCCGTCCATCCTCCTTAGGGGATCCACTCCGGGTTTCAATTCAGAGTTGTCCTTCTTCTAGACCAGTTGCCATCCAAGGCTATAGAACCCGGTCTGTCCTGCTATTTACCCATAGCTGGAGGGAGAAGAAGAGGATTCACACCTTTCCTAAGTGTATTAGCACATAAGTGAATGTAATGGATTCAACTGCAATTCGAACTCGGCTCTCCGATTCCTCCATCCAAGCCGCTATCCATTACTCCACCGTGCCTCCTCAAATGTTGTTAATACTGTTTATTATAAACAGGTCATTTATTTGTAGCTATAAACATAAAAGTCTTCACTCTCCGTTGAAACAGTGATGTCATTGACAAGCGGCTTAAGAATATGTAGCTTTTTCTTTCGTGAGCGCTTTTATAAGTGTGATACTCAGTGAACCCGACTTCCAGGGTGTAGAGAGTTCGAACCTCACTAAAGCCTGAACATGTCTAGTATTGTCAGCAAGTACAGAACTTGATTGCTCACCCCCAGGAGAGACGTAACATTAAGAAAAAATGCTACTGTACTGAGTTACACTTCTGATTCAATAAACATGTTGCCTTATGCCAGACAGTCAATGCCCTTTTTTTAAATTAAAATAGTCTCAGTAAATATTCATATGAAGCCATATTTAGCAAGCTAGTTTGAAAAATCATTATGAGCGTACAATTGGATCTCAGTGTATTCATTTTCTATCTATCTATCTATCTATCTATCTAACTGAGTCTGTTCACATCTATCTATCTATCTATCTATCTCAGTCTATTCATATCTATCTATCTATCTATCTATCTCAATGTATTCATGATCTATTATAGTCTGTTCATATCTATCTATCTATCTATCTATCTATCTATCTATCTATCTATCTATCTATCTGAGCGTACAATTGGATCCCCAGAAGGCGTATTAAACTCGGTCCTCATTCCAGACCTGGTTAGTCTCAGCAAATATTCATATGAAGCCATATTTAGCAAGCAGACCTGAAAGATCATTAAAGGCGTACTGTTAGTTTCCCAGAAAGAACCTAAAATTTGCATTCTCATGTCAGACATGGCTGATATCAGTAAATATGCATATGAAGCCATATTTAGCAACCCAGTCTGAAAGATCAGTACAGGGGTACTGTTCGTTTCCAAAAGACATGTTAAAATTAAACCCACATGCCAGACATGTCTAACCTCAGTAAATATTCATATGAAGCCGTATTGAGCAAACTAGTCTTAAAGATTCTTACGAGCGTACTGTTCGAACCTCCGAAGCTACATTAATGTTGTTGTCTCATGCCAGGGAAATATAATCTCTGTAAATATCAGTATAAAAAATGATGTTCTTCTATATCGCGCCATTTAAATCATTGGGATGTTGAATAAAGCAGCATAAAAATAAAGATTAAATCAATCAATTTTTCTTGGATTATGGAATAATTTCGATTCAGTTCAAGGCTGATTATAATGACTCGGCAGCTGGCATAAGCGCTGACAATATCAGAAAATATGTTGTAAATCAGGATGGTACGAACAGCGAGGAGGAATGCTTATAATGGGGAAGAAATTAGGAGCCGTTGTAGAAGGCTCGGTTTCTTTCTATTTAGCTAATTTAGTAACTATATTTAATATATATTATTTGCGAATATGCATATGGTTGTCTGCACCTTTGGATTTCTATGTAGAACCTCATGTCTTCCTATCTATCTATCTATCTATCTATCTATCTATCTATCTATCTATCTCAGTCTATTCATATCTATCTATCTATCTATCTATCTATCTCAGTCTGTTCGTATCTATCTCTCTCAGTCTATTCATATCTATCTATCTATCTCAATGTATTCATTATCTATTATAATCTGTTCATATCTATCATCTATCTATCTATCTATCTATCTCAGTCTATTCATATCTATCTATCTATCTATCTATCTATCTATCTCAGTGTATTGGTTTTCTATCTATCTCAGTTTGTTCATATCTATCTATCTATCTATCTATCTATCTATCTATCTATCTATCTCAATGTATTCATTATCTGTTATAGTCTGTTCATATCTATCTATCCATATATCTATCTATCTCAGTCTGTTCATATCTATCTATCTATCTATCTATCTATCTATCTCAATGTATTCATTATCTGTTATAGTCTGTTCATATCTATCTATCCATATATCTATCTATCTCAGTCTGTTCATATCTATCTATCTATCTATCTATCTATCTATCTATCTATCTCAGTTTGTTCATATCTATCTATCTATCTCAGTCTGTTCATATCTATCTATCTATCTCAATGTATTCATTATCTATGATAGTGAGTTCATATCTATCTATCTATCTATCTATCTATCTATCTATCTCAGTCTATTCATATCTATCTATCTATCTATCTATCTATCTATCTCAGTGTATTGGTTTTCTATCTATCTCAGTTTGTTCATATCTATCTATCTATCTATCTATCTATCTATCTATCTATCTATCTCAGTGTATTCATTTTCTATCTATCTATCTATCTATCTATCTGTCTGTCTATCTATCTATCTATCTATCTATCTATCTATCTATCTATCTATGTCTGTTCATATCTATCTATCTATCTATCTCAATGTATTCATTCTCATTGTCTGTTCATATCTATCTATCTATCTATCTATCTATCTATCTATCTATCTATCTCAGTTTGTTCATATCTATCTATCTATCTATCTATCTATCTATCTATCTATCTATCTATCTATCTGTCTGTCTATCTCAGTCTGTTCATATCTATCTATCTATCTATCTATCTCTCTATCTATCTCAGTCTGTTCATATCTATCTATCTATCTATCTATCTATCTATCTATCTATCTATCTATGTTGTACTTATCATGTTGTGCAAGAGCAACGATGTCATTCGTTAATGAACGCTTTTAATTTTGAAAACGTTCATTAATATTCATCCGGTGGTTGAATGGTCGGTCAAAACATATGGATGGCAAAAATTGCCATAATTTTATTTTAATTTTAATAAAATCTAAAAAGAAAACTAAAAAAAAAATATGTATAAAAACAAAAGAGACCTTATACATAACATTTTATACGATGCATTCGCCATACAGAGAAATGAATTCTATCACATTTTTTATTTAAAATATGCCACACTTATCAAAACGAGAAAGTAATTAAATCAGTAGGAAAATTATCGAGAGTGCCTCTATCGAATCTTATCAAAATGTAAATTTAAGCCCCTGTTTCTTTCCACTTTTACCTTTCCTGAAAGAATTACTACTTTCCAAGTTAATTTAATGTTTATTATAGAGCTTAGAAAAAATTCGCAGTGTGATATAGGCAAGGAGTAAGGCATGTAGCAACATCAGCACGGAAAAGGGCACTCCTTTAAAGGCAAGGAAGGGCAAAAACATTTTAAGTCAAGTGATAGCGATTGTTGTATGAGTCGTACGATTTTTAAATCAAGCACGGGCAACGCCGGGCCATGCTGCTAGTATTTATATGTATATATATAAAGTGAACATTGAAGTCAACACTTAGAGGCGACAGTCTGTTGGATGCTAGACGCAATCGTCAGGTCTATCTGCACACGAAACGTATTTTAACGTAAACAATGACAACATATAATGAAATGGATTAAGCCCGATAATTATATTATATATTTCTGTTTATAATTTATTTTTATACATAAAATTTATTTAAGTAAATGCTCTGCTTTTAATTAAACAGTATTAATTACATTTACCGGCATGAATATTCGAAGATTGTGTGTTTACAAACATATATTAAATCATTGTCAAAATTAATCTATTTCATTACACACACACACACACACACACACATACATATATATTAATCTTACTTATTATAAAACGCAGATTGTGTGTGTGTATGTGTGTGTGTGTGTGTGCACGTTTATATATTGGAACGGATTTCCTACATTTTTCAACCGATTTCAACAAAACTATACAGGACTACGTAAAATTACCTTGCGGTGGTTCTGACAGCACCAAAAATTGGAAAAACACAATTGTTTTTGCATGAAATCAATTTGAAAACACGATTAAGAGGCATCACGAGAATGAAAGGGGGACAACTCATATCGAGTTATACTTATTATAAAATACAGGTTGTTCGTGTGTGTGTGTGTTCGTTTATATATGGGATCAGATTTCCTAAATTTTTCAACCGATTTCAACAAAACTTCATTTTTTTTTGGCAGGTAGTGTTTTTTATTGCCTTGCACACTTTTTTCTTTATTTTTACATTCAGAATGCTTTAAAAATTCCATTTACAAGACAATTGTTTATAATAAGATTCTATTCAATCGGTAGACTCATAACGATTGAAAACAATGTTTTTGTTTGAGTTTGGGTTTGACCAATTCGTAAAAAAAACAAAAAACAAAACAAAACAACAAAAAACAAAACTAATTAAGACATGCGTGTCCGTCAACCTTAAACAATAATCTTTGTCAATTTTATTTTTCAGTCTTTATGATGATCGATACTTGATCTATCTCTTACTGTTACATCCCTGGGCAACGACGGGCTCTACTGCTAGTACACAATAAAATTAAAAAATCATCCCCAAATGGGGAATTTGCTTATTTCGACAGGCTAATAAATAATTCGTCTGTCTCATTAACCGCGGTATAGATCGGTCTATCCGCGTTCCGTTTCCAACAAAAATTCATTACACACCCCGGTTTTAATAAGAAAGGCGATTTATATTTTCGTCTGGCAAAAGGAGCTTATTCCCCATAACGGGTTTATTTGGGATTTTTATTGTTTATTAATTATATTTGCTCTGTATTAATAAATACATTCAGCTCTTTTTGTGGCTCAGTTTTAATATTTTTTTTACAAGGATCCACTTGGATTATATACCAACGGATTTGTTACCTTTTTATATATATATATATATATATATATATATATATATATATTTCATTACAGATAGATTTTACTTAAAGGAACAATTAGTTAGCTTATCTTCATACCCTGCCTGGTGGCAAACTCTGCTGGTGGCGCCAGGGGTGGCAGTCCCGCAATAGCCACCGAAACCGTGATATCACCCCTGGTCGGCGGCTGATGAAGACAGGGTATCGCACGTGCTAACACACGTTGTATGTTATATATATATATATATATATATATATATATATATATATATATATATGAAGAAAGAACAGTAAGATATATAATCCAGTGTTCTTATAGATATTTTTATTTTTACAAAATAGTGCTCAATGGTTGAAATGAATTTCTCTGTTTCCTTGGAAACGTGAATTATGATATTTGCTGTCTTTAAAACCCAGTAATTTTAAAAGTTACTCCAAATACTCCAAAATTCGCTTGAAGATGAAATGGAACTAATGTCTTTAATTTAATTACAAAATTAAATTCGGACCTTCTATGTAGCGGAAAAAACATATTTTAAATCAATTTATTTATAATAAAAATATACATATATATATATATATATATATATATATATGAAGGAAGTGATTTTTTTTTATATCCCAGATGGGTAAAAATATACAGGGAAAAGTTAAAAAAAGCGACTGGAGTCTTTAAGAAAATTTATTTTGAGTAAATTTACCGGATTTATTTGTTGTATGATTTCAAAAGTTAAATTCAGACGGAGAGAGACTGTGACATGATCAGAATTTCTATGAAATCCACCCATAATTATTAACCAAAAATTATGGAAAAAATAAATCACTTTACCATTTAAGCACAAGTTATTATATATATATATATATATATATATATATATATATATAT